AATCTATCCAATAACAACTCACAGTTAGAATCAGTCGTAACGCCACACACGACCCACTTGATATCTTGAGAGAAGGTGGGGTAGTCGTCCACACAGTTACCCTGAGTCGTAGGTAATTACCAATACGACTTCCACCACGTCCAGCCTGTGGAGGGAGAAGTGAGGAGTTGTTATTGTAGGGGAGAAGGTGAGGGTTGTTAATATACAGGTAATGTTCAGGTGATACTCGTTAATTAACTCACCTAACTTGGCAGGTATCGGAGGTGAGGTGGAGGATATAGGGGCAGGTGGCGGCGGCGTTGAAGTCTGACGGGTAGTTGGGACTCTCAAGGTATGTCCCGTTGTTCTCAGTGCTGCCTCCACAACCAAGCTTAGCTGAGGGGTGAGGGGGGGGAGGGAGGCGAGAGGAGGGAGAGGTGAGGGGTAAGAGGGTGTTGGGAGGTTAGGTTAGATTAGGTTAGGTTAGGATTAGGTTGGGTTGGGGTTAGGTTAGGCTAATTAAACAAAGAATATACCCACAAAATGCTAATATTTCAAGTATATTTTACAGGGGGGGGTGAAACTCAAGAGACACGCAGTACTCACTAACAGCATGAACCAAAACCCTGGGCACACTCTCCTGAAGGCTCGCCGCCCCCGCTGCTACAGGAGGCAGAGTGATAACAGATGCCAGTGTCACCTGAGACAGCCTGGCACTCGTTGTTCTTGAACCTCACCACCGAGAACATGGACACTGTCAGGGAGAACAAAGAGTGAACACGCTGATGAACACTGAACATGACACACACACACAACACACACTTAATTCACTCTTACCTGTTACCTGAACTTACATTGTTTGCCAAGAATTTACGGTACCCTACCCTTCAACACCCACTGACACCCTCTGAGAACCACCTACACCCACTTACATCCTCTGAGACCCACCTACACCCACTTACATCCTCTGAGACCCACCTACACCCACTTACATCCTCTGAGACCTACCTACACCCACTTACACCCAACTGAGACCCACCTACACCCACTTACACCCACTGAGACCCACCTACACCCACTTACACCCACTGAGACCCACCTACAACTGCCCCACCCACTGAAACCCACCTACACCCACTTACACCCTCTGAGACCCACCTACACCCACTTACACCCACTTACACCCACTGAGACCTACCTACACTCACTTACACCCACTGACACTCATACAAGTTAAAAAAAAATTTGGAAAACAATTAAAATCGAAAACTCACAGAAGCGATCAGTTCTGGCGTGTGTGGGGGAGACCTGCTGGGCTTGTGATGAATGGAACGACACCCACATCCACACCCACACCCACATCCTCGTCATCCACATCAGTATCGCTCAATGTTCATCCAGTATCCTCAATTTCAGCTTTACGAATTGGCCTTCTAGGTATTGTGGGATGATTGGATTCTTCGCTTTTCTCTTCGTTCCCAATCCTCAATCTTGCTGTAGGGAATGACCAGGATGGGTTAGGTTAAGATGGGTTAGGTTAAGATGGGTTAGGTTAAGATGGGTTAGGTTAAGATGGGTTAGGTTAAGATGGGTTAGGTTAAGATGGGTTAGGTTAAGATGGGTTAGGTTAAGATGGGTTAGGTTAAGCTGGGTTAGGTTAAGATGGGTTAGGTTAAGATAGGTTAGGTTAAGATGGGTTAGGTTAAGATGGGTTAGGTTAAGATGGGTTAGGTTAAGATGGGTTAGGTTAAGCTGCACAACAGTACACAATAGCTCCTGAAGGGGTGGATGACGATGTTGTTCCTGTATGTAGACGAAGGATTAACACCAAGACAGACAAAGACTCAAACATACACGAGCTAAGGAAGAGATTGGCTCGCAATGACGGCCCTTATAAGAGTGACTGTGTATGTGTACGTAGCGGCCTGAACTATAATACTTCTTATTACTACCGCTACACACGCACACACACACACACGCACACACGTTTAAATCATCCTGGGGTAAATAATCCACTTCAATGTCCTCAACTTAGGTGGTTTAATCTTAGCGTAGTAGCATATGGTAATTATGAAGGTGATTATATTGTCTTGTGTGCGGCAGGAGGTGGAGAAGTCTGGGGGAGGGGGTGACACGTAAACACTCCAAGAACTATAATTGGTCTATCTTTTTACGGTTCAGGAGTATATCTTAAAACTCACAAGATAATGAGAGAACAATTGTTTACTGTGTGTGTGTATGTCCAGGGAGGGCGACAAAGAGTCTCAAGAGAGTCATATGTTTGAGTCAGGCAGTCCGTCAGGCAGGCAGGCAGGCAGGCAGGCAGGAAGTGGTCACACAACCCACCCACCAAATATCTGTATATATCATTTTGTGTTAATTTTTGTCCCCTGGAGTGACTCTGAGGCAACACGGTACTCTAACATGTTACTATAGCGAGGTAACTAAGAATTTCAACTCCTATTTTAATGCTATTTTGTCTACTAGCTTAAGTGAGTCAATTACCTTCTCACATCAACAGTTAGAAATACTAGTTTAGATAATTGTGTCTATAACTACAACAACAACAACAACAAATAAAACATCATCAACACCATCAACAACAACAACAACACCAACAACAACACCATCATCAACACCTACAACAACAACACCATTAGCATCCCTTTATGCCACCACTTCCAACACATGGCTGGCGCTCCACATCGCTTCGCCAGACGGACAAAAGAACCCGCGACGAAGGGAATTAAGTCTCTGTCTTCAAAATCCATCGTCATCTGCAGGCTGCCAACTGACGAAGGAGGAGGAGAAGGAAGAGGAGGAAGAAGAAGGGAAGGAGGAGGAAGAAGAAGGGAAGGAGGAGGAAGAAGAAGGAGAGGAGAAGGAGGAGGAGGAGGAGGAGAGAGAGAGAGAAAGGAAGGAGGAAAGAAGAAGAAGGGAAGGAGGAGAAAGAAGGAGAGAGAGGAGGAGGAGAAGGGAGGAAGAAGAAGAGGGAAGGAGGAAGAAGAAGAGGAGAAGAAGGAAGAATGGGAGGGAAGGAGAGGAGGAGGAGGAGGAAGAAGAAGGAGAGGAGAAGGAGGAGGAGGAGGAGAAGGAGGAGGAGGAGGCCAATATGTAGGTCTCTGGATCACTTAACTGTACGAGGAAGGTGATGGATGAAAGGTAACGTAAGTGGGTGTAGGTGGATGTGTAGGTGGGTGTAGGTCGGGAGATGGGTGTAGGCGGGTGTAGGTGGGTGTAGGTTGTTAGGCTAGTAGTTGTAGTAGTTGTATTAAGGGGTTGTGATTGTTGTGGTTGTAGTCACTGTTTTACTATTGGTTACAGTGTCTTAATCTACAGGTACAGATTACAGGTAATAACAACACTACTGTACCTGTATTTAGACCTCAACACGTGCTTATATTTTCTTTTAAAAATTTGTAATTATTGTTGAGACGTCGCCTCTACCTGTAGCTATATTTGTAGCTACCTGCAACTACCTGTAACTATCTGTAACTGTACCTCTAACTATACCTGTAACTAACTGTACCTTTAACTGTATCTGTAGCTTTACCTGTAACTATCTGTAACCATTTGTACCTGTATATATGTACCTATACCTATATCACACAACCCCCCCAAAAATAACGATAACACAACTATGAATAAAAGCGGCAGACAGAAAGACAGACAACAAGAGAGACAGAGAGAGAGACAGTAAGAGACCACCACTACCATCTTCAGGAACGCCAGCAGGTACTGTAGGGGAAGGTACTACTACTACTGCTACTACTACTGCTTAAGTGACCACAGGGTGACCTAGGCGACTCACTCTTGCCTGTCGTAATTGTTCTCCATAACGAGGTGTTTATTACAGGTATACTCGTTCATTATCAGGGTACACAGAGCCTCATTATAGTGGACCTTACTACCGTGGATAATTTCGGCGAGGATGGGCGTGGTGCGGGTAGTGGTAGGTGGTTGTGGTGGGTGGTAGGTTGTGGTAGCAGTGAAAATGGTAACCTGAGTGGCTATTATTATTATTATTATTATTATTATTATTATTATTATTATTATTATTATTATTATTATTATTATTATTATTATTATTATTATTATTATTATTATTATTATTATTATTATTATTATTATTAGTATTATTATTATTATTATTATTATTATCATTAGTATTTTAATCCACCATTTACAGTCTTCAAAACATCCCCCGAATAAACAAATCACGCTCAGTTTTGTGACAAAGGTAACACAGGTAAGTAACAGGATAATTACCCCCAATTAACGTTAAATTACCCCGAATTATATAGCCTTGGTCCTGACAGGTAATTAACCACTGAAGATGAAGAAAGTATGACTGACATTTGTGGTATTTAGGATGACTTGTCTTGCCATGGGGTTATATGAACTCAGGTGAGGAGGAATACCTGTGTAGTTGTATAATTTCTAGCAGTGTAAGATGTTCAGGATTAGATAAATTATAATATCTTTAAAACTATTAGAGTTACTATAATGAAACTTGGTGAACTGGTTTAATATAGTTCCCCCCAAAACCCTGAAAAATTACAAAAGAATCTGATTAAAAGAAACACATATATACCTGTGTTTCTTTTTCAGGTGTGTGGGGTAATATTATAGGGAAGTTTGCAGTGTAGTTGAATCATGATATCTGCCAAACTAATGGAGTGATCTTGATGAAACTTGGTGAGCATTTAGGGAGATGGGTCATGAATTATTCTGATGGTTTTGGTTTTCATAGGTCAGAGGTCAAGATCATAATGTCAGGTCAAATTTATAGACTACACTGGTCAAATTAAGCCTTGGTGGAGAGAGAGAGAATTGCTGATAACACATGGGGATCAAGGAGGCTAAGAGAGGGGGGGAGGAGACCTTCAAATTTTCAACCCTTCTACTGGCGGTTAGTGACGGTTAGTGGCGGGTAATGACGGGTAATGGCGGAACGACCTTGTGTCCCCCCCACCTATAGGCCACACCCATATGGTATATAAGGGCCTCTCAGATGGACTCAAGCATCACTCAACCTCACTACATCGTCGAGTTAAGTCTGCCCCTATAGCCATGTAAGTGTGTTGTTGTTGTTCTAAGTGTGTGTGTGTTAAGTAGTTCTTGTAACCATGTAAGTGTGTGTGTGTTAAGTAGTTCTTGTAGCAATGTAAGTGTGTGTGTGTTAAGTAGTTCTTGTAGCCATGTAAGTGTGTGTGTGTTAAGTAGTTCTTGTAGCCATGTAAGTGTGTTGTAGTTGTTCTAAGTGCGTGTTAACTACTGTAGTTTTTGTAGGCCTGCTAAGTGTTGCAACTCTAGTGTATGAAGGTAATTGATAAGTGTGTGTGTGTGTGAGTGAAATTCAAGTGTAAAGTTAAGTAATAAGTGTTTTGGTGACTTTACTTAACATAGTAGAGAGAGAGAGAGAGAGAATTTAAGTGACTGTGGTGTTAAGGTTAGGTTAGGTTAGATCCTGTATTATGTTAAGAATATTCATGAATTTAATATTTCTTACTGAAGTTTTGGTTTATCAGCGTCTCTCTCTCTCTCTCTCTCTCTCTCTCTCTCTCTCTCTCTCTCTCTCTCTTTCTCTCTCTCTCTCTCTCTCTCTCTCTCTCTCTCTCCCTGCCCGCCTCCCTCTCTGTTTATCTGCGTCTCTCTCTCTCTCTCTCTCTCTCTCTCTCTCTCTCTCTCTCTCTCTCTCTTTCTCTCTCTCTCTCTCTCTCTCTCTCTTATTCTACCTATTCAATTTCTCTTTTTCATCTCTCTTTCAACTCCTCTTTTTCATTACTTCTCACAGTCGTCGTATACCCCATCGCCTCACATTTCTTTCTTTCTTATGTTTCCTCTTCACTCACACACTCCTTCCATTTCTGTTTTTATCTGTCACCTTCCTCCCATATCTCTTCCTGATTCTTACCCCCCAAAAATTCTCATTCTCTCTTCCACCTCCTCTCTCTCGCTTTCTCCCTCTCTCTCTCTCTCAATCCACCCACCACTCTCCCTCTTTCCCTTGGACTAACTCGCCCTCCCCACCCACCACCCTCCCTCTCTCCCTTGAACTAACTCGCCCTCCCCACCCACCACTCTCCCTTGGACTAACTCGCCTGTGTCCTCGTCAGTATGAAGATCGGTCACCTCGTCACCCTCGCCCTCGCCCTGGGTCTGCTGGATCAGGTCACCTCCACCTTAATCGTCGGCACCGTTGGCGCGGGCGTGGCTGCGGGCGCTGCTGTCCTAGCTACGGGCGTGGCTGCTCTCGGCGCCGTGGTCCTGGGAGCTGCCGTGCTGGGAGCCAAGCGTCGCGGGAAACGTGAAGCGACGCAGTGTCTCCCCTTCGCTGACGCCGACCTCTACCTCTCCATGGCTATCAACAGCGACTCCCAGGGATGTACACAGAGGTTCATGTGTGAGATTTCCTCCCCTGATATCTCTGACCTGACGAAGGAGGAGCAGTTCATCAAGGACGTCTTCGCCTCTAACCTCAACACCGAAGAGAACACCCCCAAGGCTTTGTTCGCCCGCGCCGCCGCTCTTGGTGCCAAGGGTGGCGCTCTGGTGTGCGCTGAGGAGTTCCACAAGTGTCCCTTCGACAGGAAGATCCTCATGCAGGCGTTCTTGAAGGCTCAGACACAGTAAGGCATCCCTTCTTCAGGGCTCAAAGGACGTCTTCAAGGCCACGTAGGAGAGGAAAGAAGAGGAGGAGGAGGAAGAGGAGGAGGAGGAGAAGGGCTCAGGCCTACTTAAGACAGGATCTCACTTGGGCTCTAGACCTTGTGTTGTGGAGCTCAGGTGAAGTAGTGAGTTTTGGGTGACGTCCTGTGTATGTATGTATGTATGTGTATGTTAGATCTACGTACATCTTTTGTCAGGGTTTGTAAACTGTGTGCAAGTCTGTAAAATTCATATCATCCTTTTATAAGTTTGTGTAAGTGTGCAAGTGTGTGTTTGTGAAGTGTAAATCGTCGGTGTAAGATTGTGTATCTTGTGAAACGTGTTGTGTAAATTTGTGCAAGTGTTATGTAAAAATTTTGTAAATCCCTCTATTCTGTAAAACGACAATGATTTTTTTTTTTACACAACACAGGAAATAAATCAATTCAATGTATTCTTAAACTAATTCTTGTAGTAAGTGATGAGAATAAATCTTTCCTTTGCATTTCTTTCTGTTTTTACTTTCCTGGGAAAAACAAAAACAAAGATGGCTGCCAAATTACACCGAGACTCTACCTTAACTAGATCCATTCACTTATCCTAACTTACAAGGTCGAGTGATGGGTGAGGTCGAGTGATGGGTGAGGTCGAGTGATGGGTGAGGTCGAGTGATGGTTGAGGTCGAGTGATGGTTGAGGTCGAGTGATGGGTGAGGTCGAGTGATGGGTGAGGTCGAGTGATGGGTGAGGTCGAGTGATGGGTGAGGTCGAGTGATGGTTGAGGTCGAGTGATGGTTGAGGTCGAGTGATGGGTGAGGTCGAGTGATGGGTGAGGTCGAGTGATGGGTGAGGTCGATTGCGTGGCGTCTGGAGAAAGGCCAGATCTCTTGCCTATATTGGGGATTGATTCAGTGTGTGTGTGTGTGTGTGTGTGTGTGTGTGTGAAGCCAACAATCACTCTGACAATCCCAATCAGTGATACTAACTAGCGAATCACTGAGAATCATCCAATGTAACGCATATCAGATATAACTTTGACCAGGGCAGACCAAAGCGAGATAACAGGGCCCGGAAACCCCTAGAGGCGACTTACAGTGACCATTAATGCCCGGAAACCCCTAGAGGAGGCTTACAGTGACCATTAATGCCCGGAAACCTCTTGATATATGGTAGAGGTGTCAATAGAGCCCGGAAGCCTCTCGAGACGCGGTAGAGGTGATCAACAGTGCCTCGGAAACCTCACGTCACTATCTGTCACCGTGAACGACCCCCACAGTGGAGGTTGTCAATACACGAGGCTTCTTTTGTCTTCTCTCTCTCTCTCTCTCTCTCTCTCTCTCTCTCTCAGTCTTTCCTATTTTTTGTCTTTCTCTTGTTCATCCTCTCCCTCTCGCTTATTCTTCTCATCTTTCCCGCTCTATCTCTTTCTCTCAATTCTCTTCTATTTTCACCCCCTTCTCTCTCTCTCTCCCTCTCTTCATCCTCGCTCTTTCTCCCTGTCTCTCTCTCACTTTTCCAATTCTTTATTTTTCTCTCATTATCTTCCCTGTCTCTCTCTCTCTCTCTCCCTCACACTCTTTCCTATCCCCCCCTCTCTCTCTCTCTCTCTCTCTCTCACCACACCGAGGAGAGGAGCAGTCATCACACCACACTAGTCGTTCATCTTGGTCATCGCAGTAATCACTCTCCTTAAGCTGTTGGCGATGGTTCTGCCTTCATTTCTTTCATTGAGTTGATGAAAGAAGATATAAATGCTATATCTTTCTTCACACACACACACACACACACACACACACACACACACACACACACACACACATGACCCCTTCACAATTCTATCCTTTGTCGATTCAGGAGGAAGTCCTATTGTGTGGGTGATCCTGCAGGACTTAGGGCCTGTCTCTGTAGTTTTCACGGTCACCAGAGGACATGGAGGAACCCCGTTGGACATGAAGGACCCCACAAAAGGCATGAAGGACCCCAGAAGGCATGAAGGACCCCCCCAGAAGACCCCTTTACAGGATATGAAGGACCCAAAAAGACATGAAGGACTCCACAGAAACCCTCACAGGACCCCCACAGGACATGAAGGATTTCCGGGAACCAACTCCTGTAAGAAGTCCTTCGTCAATAACCCGTGTCCTTAGTATCTCCATAAATTCTTGGCAATTGAGGCATCCTTCAATTCTTTCTCTCTCTCTCTCTCTCTCTCTCTCTCTCTCTCTCTCTCTCTCTCTCTCAATGAAACAGTAATCTATAAAAGCTCTTTGTCTGTCTGTCTGTCTGTGTCTTTGTGTCTATCTATCTCTTTTTAGTTTCTTTTTCTCTCTTTTTTCCATCTGAGAGAGAGATGGAAGAAGCGCGCTTAAATGATGCAGAAAAAATCAGACACAGAGATATTTTAGTCAGAAACCAATCACACGTAGTGACTGTATGGGGGGGGAGGGTTTCTAAATATTATACTAACATAATAACAATGATTAACACACACACACACACACACACACACACACACACACACACACTAACATTCATCCTCCTCCTCCTGACAATATCTCTCCTCTCTCACTCCTCTACTCCACCACCTTTTCGCTGTCACATTTCTGCATCTCGGCCGCGGAAATTGGTCCAACTGACGCACTCCGATACATTTACTTGAGTTGGTGGTGTCATCCAAGAGCTTATAGAAAACCAGATCAATGCTAAGATTAGAGGGGGGGACTTATGTAAAGGTGTGTGTGTGTGTGTGTGTGTGTGTGTGTGTGTGCGATAGTTAACAGACATATTAAACGTTACGTGTGCGGGCCTCCCCTTTCCCTCTACCCCTTCTCTCTCTCCCTTCCCCCTTTTCTCTCTTCCTCTTTGCCCTCACTCTCTCTCTCTCTCTCTCCTATCTCTTCCCTTGCATCCTTCCTATCTTCCTCTATCTTACCTCCCTTCTCTACCTACCCTCCCTCCTCCTCTCTCCCTTCTCCTCTACCTACCCTCCCTCCTCCTCTCTCCCTTCTCCTCTACCTACCCTCCCTCCTCCTCTCTCCCTTCTCCTCTACCTACCCTCCCTCCTCCCTCACTGAGTCAACCAATCAAGAGAATGGAAGCTCTCTCTTAACTGGCCCTACTAGCGTGATCCATGACCTACCTTACTTAACTTTACTTAACGTTACTTAACATTACTTATACTTTACCAAAACCTGACCTAAATTTCACTTAAAAAATTCCTTACTTAAATTTCCCTAAACTTACATAACTAACCTGTGCTATTTAACTTTATTATTTATCAACTTATTTAATTAGCGGATAAAAACACACATATACACAGACACACATATACACAGACAGACATACCGACAGAGACACACACATACAGACAGAGAGACAGACATACAGACAGAGAGACAGACATACCGACAGAGAGACAGACAGATCACAGTGGGTAAGTTTATATCCTGACACAACCTTAGTTTACCAATACGTCTTCTTGGAGCCAAAGAGTTAGGTCTCTCTCTCTCTCTCTCTCTCTACGTCTGCCAAACACCATAACAACTCTCCTATTTTCCCTTTTGTTGTATAGGAGAGAGAGAGAGAGAGAGAAAAAAATGACAGGATAATCACTCACACAGACACGACAGTTAATAACATCTACAAAACTGTAACTAACAACTACACCTCGTCTTCACCCCCTCCCCCACCCCAACCCTCCCTCCCCAACCCCTCCCCTCCCCAACCCCAAATTCTCAGAAAATCGTAAGTTATTCCTTAAAATTCTCGTAACTCTAGATTTAAAACATCCACATTGGCTATTTAAAGATTATGTCCCCCCCCCCTAAAAAGTTCGTAAGTTAATTATTTCTTGTATCTTGAGATGTGAGAATGTACTTAACTGATTCACTTAAGTTACTACAAAAAAGTTGGATTCTCAAAGTGATTTTACCTTATGAGGCAATGATTGTGTGTGTCAAGATGGCGTCCAATTTGTACTGAGACTCTTGTTATAGTTTGTGGCTCTTCATCTACACAATCCATCTGTTATCCATCTCTCATTCATTATCCATCTATCACCCATCCATCCTATCATCCACCTACATCCATCTCCCAATCGGTTTCAGTCATCTGGATTCGACTGCAAATCGGTCGAGAATTTTCAGATATGTCCAGGTGTGTGTGTGTGTGTGTGTGTGTGTGTGTGTGCGTGCGTGTTTGTGTTTCCTGAGACATGAAAAATACGTAAATAAAACACTCATGAATACATACCATCAGAGGAGACATTAATTGATGACTCCTTTGGTGGCGTATTATTTTATATATCACTAATGTATCCTTTATGCATCACGAGGAAAGATATAAATTGTGAACTTCCTCTGCTATGTATCGTGGTAGTATGTATTAAAATGCGACTATTTTATGTATTACGAGTTATGTATTTATTTAGATCGTATTTTATGTATTATAAATGACTCCCATTTATGTCCCACGAGGAAAAAAAATCTTGAAAATACAATAAAATACAATAAAATACAATTAAAAACCACATAACAAAAATAAAAACAAAAAAAAAATAAAAAAAAAATATATGAAATAAATTAAAATATTCGGATTAAATTTCAACATCGACTCACCGTTTTCTTTAGTTACCCCCCAATTCCTCTCTCTCTTCCCATTTTCTTCCTCCTTGGTATTTCAGGGGAGTGACTTTAATATATTTTGTTTAGTTTAGTGATATTGGTTCTCAGTTAAGATACAGTTGAGTGATTAATAATTATTTGTGAAAGGAGATGGAGTAAAAATGGGAGAGAGAGAGAGAGAGAGAGAGAGAGAGAGAGAGAGAGAGAGTAGCATAATTGTGTGTGTGTGCGTGATCTGACCTCACTTGACCTAACTTCTTATGGACTGAGGTCAGATCCTGATTTATGGACCTAGACTTCCTCATATACTCTCTCTCTCTATTTCTATCTCTCATATTTCTTCTCTCTTCCTCTTTATATGTCTCTTTCTCTCATTCTTCGTTTCTTCCACTTATCATCTCTCTCTCTCTGTCTCTCTTTCCATCTTTCCCAAAATAGCATAAACAAGAGAGCCTTTAAGACACGTTCTCCAGTTCGTGTAAATAAACAAACCATAAGAATCCGGATCTAACTTTCCCGAACGCATCGCCTCAAAACAACAGTAAGACGCAGATGTTATTGTCACGCAGGCAAGTTTGTGTAGTGGTTGTGTAAGTGTGTTGGTCTGTAAGTGCGTTGGTTGTATAAGTGTGTTGGTCGTGTAAGTGTGTTGGTCTGTAAGTGCGTTGGTCTGTAAGTGCGTTGGTTGTATAAGTATGTTGGTCGTGTAAGTGTGTTGGTCTGTAAGTGCGTTGGTCTGTAAGTGCGTTGGTTGTATAAGTATGTTGGTCGTGTAAGTGTGTTGGTCTGTAAGTGCGTTGGTTGTATAAGTGTGTTGGTTGTATAAGTGTGTTGGTCGTGTAAGTACGTGTGGTTTTATAAGTGTGTGCTGTTCTATAAGTGCGTCGAGACAGTCCCAAGATGTTAAGTGAGAGGTTAAGTTTCTTGTTGAGACATTAAGTAAAAAATTTTCTGACACTTAGAAGCGAAGGTTATTAGTTATTAGAGTGTTGTTATGGAGATGTCCTAAGGTTGGTGTGTGTGTGTGTGTGTGTGTGTGTGTGTGTGTGTGTGTGTGTGTGTGTGTGTGTGTCTGTGTATGTGTACACTTGTTATCTCTTCTCCCTCTTTTATCTATCTAACTATCCATTTATCTTCCTCACACCTCTTATTCTCCTCTCAATCTTTCTCCCTCATTCCCCCTCACAATCTTCCTCCCGTATTCTCTTTCTATCACTCTCCCTTTGTCTTCTTAACACTCTCCCTTCCTTACATTCCCTCTCCCTTCTGACACTTTCTCTCCCTTATTCTCCCTTCCTTACTCTCCCAGGCCCACTTCCCTCAAGAGGATATGTTGACAACCTCTCCCTCTGATCATCTGTCACCCCAGGGCATTTACATACTGAGAGAGAGAGAGAGAGAGAGAGAGAGAGAGAGAGAGAGAGAGAGAGAGAGAGAGAGAGAGAGACCTGAACTTCATTACATTTACAAAGTTCAGGTAATTATTCATTAACCTTCTAATAATGACGTGACAACATTATTAACCAAACAGCTGGACCTTACTGTAGCTATATCAGGTAAGTCAGTAAGGGAGGAAATAGGATACAGGTACATATTATACAGGTACACGTAGAGATACAGGTACAGATACAAGTAGACAGCCAAGTACAGGTGCAGAGCCAATTACAGGTACAGGTACAGGTGGAGGGACAAGTTCACATGCCTGTATAACACAGGTTATGAGTCATCTGGCCACACGGTAAAGATATAAAGTATTTGTATGTGTAACTCATGAAGCCTACAACCATGTCACTCCTAAGCCGTCACAACCACGTCACTCCATGCCGTCACAACCACGTCACTCCCAAGCCGTCACAACCACGTCACTCCCAAGCCGTCCTAACCACGTCACTCCCAAGCCGTCACAACCACGTCCTCCCATGCCGTCACAACCACGTCACTCCCATGCCGTCACAACCACGTCCACTCCCATGCCGTCACAACCACGTCACTCCCATGTCCATCACAACCACGTCACTCCATGCCAAATCACAACCGTCCTCCCATGCCGTCACAACCACGTCACTCCATGCCGTCACAACCACGTCACTCCATGCCATCACAACCACGTCACTCCCATGCAATCGGCTCCACAATCCTCCCAAGCCATCACAGCCACGTCACTCCCATGCCGTCACAACCCATCCATCATGCCGTCACAGCCACGTCACTCCATGCCGTCACAACCACGTCCTCCCATGCGTCACAACCACGTCACTCCCATGCCGTCCCCAGCCGTCACCTCCCAAGCCATCACAACCACAGTCACTCCCATGCCATCACAACCACGTCCTCCCAAGCGTCACTCACCAAGCCGTCACTCCCCTATTATCCTTGTTGAGTTTCCGGTCGTTATCTCCGAAACCAATTAAAGGATTCTCTTCCTATGATGACTGTGGCAATAGGTTGAAAATTACACGAGAGTTCATTTGCATACTGACATATCAGGTGATCTAGTGGGTTATAGCGGCGTATGTATGTGTATATGTATGTATGAATGTATGTATGTATGTATGTATGTATGTATGTATGAATGTATGTATATGTGTGTGTGTGTATGTGTGTGTGTGTGTTATATAAACACATCAGACACTGTGTTTAATAGAGCCTTGTAGGAGAGAGAGAGAGAGAGAGAGAAAGAAAGAAAAAGAAAAAATCCACAATTAAAAATAGTCCCCAAACTCAGCTAAATGGTCCACAATACCAAGAATCGATCCGCTAATCATTTTTCCTACTCAGTAATTTTTAAATAAAGAGAAAAAGTCGAAAATCAGCTCAACACTCCTATGAAGAGGTCGAGTCGAGTCCTTGCCAGCTTGAAGCGTCATATTGAAGTTCTGGTGCGTTTAATTGGACAACTGGAATTACCTGTGTGTGTGTGTGTGTGTGTGTGTGTAGATGGAGGTTTGTGGTGGCTGGGTGTGTAAATTTGGAGGTGGGGTCAGATGGGCGGGTCTGGGTGTGGGTGTGGACCAGGCATGAGGCAGGCGGGTGTGTCGTAGTCCTCAGCTTTAAAGAGGTGAGAGAGGAGAGATAGAGAGAGAGAGAGAGGAGGGAGGAGATGGAGAGGGAGGGCAGGGGGGTGGCAGAGGACTCACCCTGAACCAGCTTCTTTCCTCCCTTCTTCCTCCTTCTTTCCTTCCTTCATTCCTCCTTCCCCCCCTCCTTCCCTCATCCCCAACCGACACTGTAATCGACCACCTTCACTTCCCCAAATGAAACGTCAGGTACCTATACACAACTGCGAACCAACGACCCCTAGTAAGGGTGGTGAGTAGTCTATCCACTCGGCCACTTCCCTAAATCCTTCGTCCATAAGTTCAAAGGAATCCCAACTATTTTCACCCTCGGTCCTTCACCTCATCTAACCCGCCTCAACCTCCTTCTCCACTCCCTCACCTCCTGCCTCCTTCACCTCCTGCCTCCCTCACCTCCCTGCCTCTTCACCTCCCTGCCTCCCTCACCTTCCCTGCCTCCTTCACCTCCTGCCTCCTCACCTCCCTGCCTCCTTCACCTCCCTGCCTCCTTCACCTCCTGCCTCCTTCACCTCCTGCCTCCTTCACCTCCCTGCCTCCTTCACCTCCCCTGCCTCCCTCACCTCCCTGCCTCCTTCACCTCCCTGCCTCCCTCACCTCCTGCCTCCTTCACCTCCCTGCCTCCTTCACCTCCCTGCCTCCCCACCTCCCTGCCTCCTTCACCTACCTGCCTCCCTTTGCTTCAGATTCCTTACTCCCCCCTATCCCCCCCTAACCCCCACCACCTATCCCCACCACCTATCCCCACCCCCTAACCCCACCCCTAACCCCCACCCCACCCCTATCCCCCACCCCTAACCCCACCCTAACACCCCCTAACCCCACCCTAACCCCCACCACCTATCCCCCACCCTAACCCCACCCCTACCCCCACCCCTAACCCCACCCCTAACCCCACCCCTAACCCCACCCCTAACCCCCCCCCTAACCCCACCACCTATCCCCACCACCTATCCCCCACCACCTATCCCCTATCTCTCCATCCCCAAGTCATCCAATTCCTCTATCTTCACCTTTATTCCCCTATTTTCCTCTCTTCCTTGATCCTTCTCTTCTTTTCCTCTTCCTCCTCCTCCCTCTTCTTCTTCTTCCTTCTTTGTTTCCCATCTCTTCAATCTTCTTATTTTTCTTCCTCTTCTATCTTTATCTCCCATCTTCTCTCTCCTCCCTTATTTATTCTCGTCTATCTTATCTTCCTCCTTTATTCCTTTATCTTTCATCTTTGTTTCATTCTCTTCCTCTTCCTCCCCCACTTCTTCTTCCTCCTTATTTCCTCTTTATTCTTCCCAGCTTCCTCCTCCTCTTCATTCCATCTTCCTCCCTTTCCTCTCCCTCCACTTCCTCTCCTCTTCTCCTTATTCCGCTTCTTTCTTTACTTTCATCTCCTCTCTTCATTCTATTTCAGCGTTTCCATTGATACTAGCCTTATGGGAACCCAGAGACCTTCAACCCTGAGAGACATTCCTGAGAGATAATACTGAGAGACATTCCTGAGAGATAATACTGAGAGACATTCCTGAGAGATAATACTGAGACATTCCAGAGAGATAATACTGAGACATTCCTGAGAGATAATACTGAGACATTCCTGAGAGATAATACTGAGACATTCCTGAGAGATAATACTGAGAAACATTCTAGAGATATTCCTGAGAGACATTCCTGAGAGATAATACTGAGACATTCCTGAGAGATAATACTGAGACATTCCTGAGAGATAATACTGAGAAACATTCCTGAGAGATAATACTGAGAGACAATCCTGAGAGATAATACTGAGAGACATTCCTGAGAGATAATACTGAGAGACAATCCTGAAGATAATACTGAGAGACATTCCTGAGAGATAATACTGAGACATTCCTGAGAGATAATACTGAGACATTCCTGAGAGATAATACTGAAAACATTCTAGAGATATTCTGAGGCATTCCTGAGAGATAATACTGAGACATTCTGAGAGATAATACTGAGACATTCCTGAGAGATAATACTGAGAAACATTCCTGAGAGATAATACTGAGAGACATTCCTGAGAGATAATACTGAGACATTCCTGAGAGATAATACTGAGACATTCCTGAGAGATAATACTGAGAAACATTCCTGAGAGATAATACTGAGAAACATTCCTGAGAGATTTCTGAGAGACATTCCTAAGGGAGATGGAGAGTTATTCTTAAGAGACATTCCCATTCTCTCTCTCTCTCTCTCTCTCTCTCTCTCTTTAAGACAAATGGTAAAAGTAACTAAAATTAATGAAGTTTATTCTGTTGTGACTTGGGACGTGTGGGTGTAGGAGGGTAAGGGAGGGCAAGGGAGAGTGTGGGAGGGTAAGGGAGGGCAAGGGAGAGTGTGGGAGTAAGGAGGGGAGCAAGGAGAGTGTGGGAGGGTAAAGGGAGGAGATGTGGGAGGGTAAGGGAGGGCAGGAGAGTGTGGGAGGAGTAGGGAGGGCAAGGAGGTGTGGGAGGGCAAGGGAGGGAGATGTGGGAGGGCAGGAGGTGTGGGAGGGGTGAGGGAGGGGCAGGGAAGGTGTGGAAGAGTGGGGAGGCAAGGGAGAGGTGTGGGGAAGAGGAGAAGAGAGAGTGTGAGAGGGGGTAAGAGAAAGGAAGAGTGTGGGAGGGTGAGGAGAGGGCAAGAGAGTGTGGAGGGGGTAAGGGAGGGCAAGGGAGAGTGTGGGAAAATGAAGAGAGAGAGGTGAGAGAGAGAGAGAGAGAGAGGGGGGGCAGAAGAAATAGTCAAACAAATAAATCTTCTGAAGCGTGAAGTAAACATCGACAGAATATATAATTTTTTCACCACAAGAAAGGAGGAGGAGGAAGAAGAGGAAGGAAGAGGAAGAGGAGGAAGAGGAAGAAGAGGAGGAGGAAGGAAGAAGGAGGAGGAAAGAGGAAGAAGGAGGAGGAAGAAGAAGAGGAGGAGGAGAAGAAAGGAAGAGGAGGAGGAGGAAGAAGAGGGGGGAGGAGGAGGAAGAAGAGGAGGAGGAAGAGGAAGAAGAGGAGGAGGAAGAGGAAGAAGAGGAGGAGGAGAGGAAGAGGAGGAGGAAGAGAGAAGAGGAGGAGGAAGAGGAAGAAGGAGGAGGAAGGAAGAAGAGGAGGAGGAAAGGAAGAAGAGGAGGAGGAAGGAAGAAGAGGAGGAAGAGGAAGAGGGAGGAGGAAGAGGAGGAAGAGGGAGGAGGAAGAGGAAAGGAGGTTATTATTATAACCTACCAAACCTCACTCACTCTCCCTCCCTCCACCTCACTCACTCCACTCACTCACTCATCTTCTCACTTTCACTCACTCACTCAGTCACTCACTCTCTCCCTCACTCACTCACTCACTCACTCCTCCTCACTCACTTCCTCACTCCCTCACTCACTCACTCCTCCTCCCTCTCCTCCTTCTACTCACTCCTCCATCCTCATCATCTTCTCACTTTCACTCACTCACTCACTCACTCACTCACTCACTCACTCCCCTCTCCCACTCACTCACTCACTCACTCACTCACTCACTCACTCACTCACTCACTCACTCACTCACTCTCTCCCTCCTCCCTCACTCACTCACTCCCAGTCACTCACTGAACCTTAGAGCGGATATGGTCATTCTGTAAGTGAATGACTGCTTCTGCTGCTACAGGTGACCTATTTAACAGCGTTTTCTAATCCAGGAGGCTGCTACGCTGCTGTTACCTGGTGTTACTTGCTGTTACCTGGTGTTACTTGCTGTACCTGGTGTTACTTGCTGTTACCTGGTGTTACTGCTGTTACCTGGTGTTACTTGCTGTTACCTGGTGTTACTTGCCCTGCTACCTGGTGTTACCCACTTGTTGCCAGTTGTTGCCCCTGTGCATTTACCTGGTGTTACTTGCTGTTACCTGGTGTTACTTGCTGTTACCTGGTGTTACTTGCTGTTACCTGGTGTTACTTGCTGTTACCTGGTGTTACTTGCTGTTACCTGGTGTTACTTGCTGTTACCTGGTGTTACTGCTATTGTTGTTTTCTGTTTATTTTTTAGATGGAATATAATCAAGATATATCTTTGTTCTCTCTCTGTCTCCCTCTCTTTCTCTCTCTCTCTCTCTGTCTCCCTCTCTTTCTCTCTCTCTCTCTCTCTGCATTCTTTTCCTTCTTTCCCTTTCAAGTCTTGCGCTCAGTTTTCTCCCCTACTCCAATCTTCCTCCTCCCTATCTCCCCTACCTCCTTCCCTATCTCCCTGCCCCTCCCTCCTATCTCCTACCCCTCCCTCCCCTGTCTCTCTACCTCCCCTCCCCTATCTCCCCTACCCCTCCCTCCCTGTCTCCCCTACCCCTCCTCCCTATCTCCCCCCTCCTCCCCTGTCTCCCCTACCCCT